AAATCAACTAACTTCTTGCTCTAACTTCAGGAAATGCAAATTTTTTATATTTTTTGTTTATAAAATTTTATAAGAAATTTAATAATTAACATAATTATAAGAAATCCTAACATAATTAAGTAAAAAAACTCATTTCAAACAAGTAAAAATGAATTCCTTATATAAGACAACATTATAAACATATTTATTAAAATCAACACTCTAAAAGAAAACAATCATAATGTAATAACATAATAGAATTATTCAGTTTTAAATAAACTTATAAAAATAAAAAAATAAAATAGATGTTACCATAGAAATTCAAAAACAAATACTTGGAATTAAAATAAAAAACAGCTAAATAAATTCTAAAGAAAATATCCAAAAAATAAAAGGAAACATATTAGGGCCACTTCTGGTCCATTTTCATTAGATCTATAAGGGGAGCTATTTTTTTTCTTTCAAAACTAGCTTGAAGACTTAAAATCCAGCAAATCACCATGCATGCAATGAAAAATAATAGCAAATTGAAAAATAGTAAAGCTTATAGCTAAAATTAAGAACCTTCTAAAGGTTTTTTGCTTTAACAACACCCCTCGAGGTTAGTCCAATATCATTTCAACGAATTGTTACAAAAGTATGAATTAGACCCTTATCAAATAGAATCATGGTTATTCTATAGCCAAAAAGAGACATTGTCCAAGTCTATTAAAAAGTAAAGGAAAAAAGGTAAGAGTGATAAATTTAAGCAAAGTAAGACAAATAAACATATACTGGACCTTAAAGAAGTTGTATAAATTTTATTTCTTCATCACCTTACATCTTAACATTTTTAATTTGAAAACCATAAAGATCTATTGCATGCCATAATATAAAGTAAAAAAATGGATAACTATTGATATGTAGGAATTACATGAAGTGTGGAACATAATGTCTACAAATTGCTCACATAGAATAAAACAACATTAAATAATTTGTACAACAAAAAAAAAAAGTCTATTATGGGTATAAAAAAATAAGTTACAAAGCAGTCAAATGATTGGATTTTTACCTAGAATGAAATTTACTTGATTGAGTCATTTCTTAAAGCCATAAAAGAAATCAATCCTTCAAATTTTATAAAATAGTGCCTAAGCTTGAAAAAATATAGCTATTGGAATTGAAATTTTAAGACAAAATAGCATATGATAGAAAGTTGATAAAAATCATTTTAAAAATCAACAAATATAGCTCTACTAAAGAATAAAATGAATAGAACAAAAGAGCTAACAAAAGACAATATAAAACAACAACTTACCATAACATGGAGCATAACATTATTTAATATTAACTAACAAAACTTATGTATCTGTTTTCATACATCTTAAACTATAACAAACTTTTTCATGATGAAGTTGTGTAAAAAAAAATCTAAGTTCAATTGAAAAGTACCTAATTTCTTTGTTTTCAGACATAAGCTAGTTTTGTTAATAGCCAAAACTATATCCACAAGAAATAGCATTCAAACCAAAAAAGCACGTTAAAAAATAGAATTAAAAAAAACCATGCATATTTTTTATGCCTAAATTACTAAGCATAACAATAAATTATAGTTTTAAAAGCACGTGTGAGTGATAGAAAAATAATTTTTTTAAAAACAAATCAATAGTCAGCATAATTATAAGAAATCTACATCACTATCAGGTTTGAAAATAAAAAAAAATATGCCTTTTAAAAGCCTCACTATAAAAGAGTGGCAATAAACTAGGTTTTATAATTTGACGAAAGGAATAAACCTAAAATGGGAGTAACAATTTCTACAATTATGAAAAAAGTTTAAATTTGAATAAATATGAAAGATTGTAAAAAGAACATCAATTAAAGACCAATCTTGTTTAGGTATAGACTTTTGACCTAGTTTATTAATGCTTAAATAGATTCAATGTCATTTAAATTTGGTATGATGGGTTCATACATTATTATCAACCTTTTAAAAGAAGACTTTCAAGCTAATTTCTCTACTTTTACAGTGGGTGGCGCATTTGAGTGTGTTTAACATAATTAAGTATTGCAAAAGATGTTTTATTCAAGAAGGAAGCATTTTTTGCAAGCATCTAAAGGGCCACAACTATGCAAGAGTTTCCTATGGGTTGGTTAACATCAGAATTGACGTATTAAAGGGCTTTATGTACTCTCCATACATTTCTACAACTTTCATCGTATGTTTAGCCACCTCAAAAGAGTGTTCCATATCAAAAACAACATTAATGATGTTATTCCCCCTTTGTAACATTAATAGTGAATACATTTGCACAAAATTAAATGAAAAAAAACCTCAACATCAATAGTTAACAGTTAAGAAATCAAGATATATTTGTTTGTTCAATGAACTGAAGAATGTACCATCTTTTGAACAGTTATGGGGGATTAAGATCACCATTCAAAATGTAAACATGTGAACTTGAAGGATCTTTTTAATTCTTTCACATGTCTTTCTAAGCCTTGGATGTTTCGAAGATAATACTTTTTTTATGAAAACAACATGCCAAAAAAAAAAAAGCAAGGCAAATTTTTTATTCATATTGATATATATCCTTACAAACTAAGAACGCTTAATGAATAACAAATGAGCCAAAATGTAGAAATTAAATATCTAATACAATTACAAACTCTTTAACGAAAGGCTCAAACGAATAACCAACACCTTGTTTGGGATAGATAATGAAGAGACCATGAACTATTGCTCTTACCTATGATATGTGATGTGAAAATGCTAAAAGAGTGTGCCTCGTTAGTAGAGCAATGTAAACCTTTATTTAAAACTTTACCTCACCCATATTGGACATTAAGTTCTATAGGTAGGGCCATGAAAACACTTAGGCTTTGCTACACATACCTTCATCAATCATGAAAAATTTAAAATTCCAAAAATAAATAAATAAAAATGTAGAGAAAGAGCAAATTACTTCCAAATGGAAGGAATAAAATGGGGTTGATTCCAACATTGTTAAACATCAATTGATGCATCGTTGTGCTTTATTTTTCTTTTTCTTTTCTTTTTTTTCACCATGCCTCTCCTTCTATGTTAGACATCAAATTGTCTCCTCTTCTTCCTTTTTTCCTTTCCATATCTCTTTCTTTTTGGCTTTTTTTTATCATCTATCAAAAAAAAAACTATTGATTTTTTTTCATGAAATTATTTGCCACTTAAAGAAGAAGAATTCTTACATCTACTCTAATTCAATCTCATCTTGAGTTTAAAAAAAGAAAATCATTCCCTTATTAATTGTTTTTCTCAATTGCCTAATTCATTTTTTTTTAACTTTATCCTTTTTCCAAACCCTTTTCTTTTTTTTTTCTTCAACCAAAACTTTATCTTTTTTCTAGACTCTTCCTCTTTCTTTTTCTTTTTCTACCAAATATCCTCAGTAAATAATAAATTCCCTTTCAATCCTAATTGGACAAGTTGTCACACTAGCTTTTACTTGAAGATAAAATTATATGTTAGTTAAGATAATTAAAAAAAAAATTAACTTATGAGAAAAAGAGGCGTTCGAGTTAAGTTGACACACTCCACCCTTTTGATTTTTTTTTACACTTTATAAAACCCTAATTTTTTTTTGCTTCATTTTTCATTTTTCCTGTTTCTTTTTCTTCTTAAAAAAATCTCATTTATATTAAAAACAACAATGCCTCTTCTCAGACTTCAAATTTAGGCTAGATTACTGTTGTCATCGTCATTGTCTAGTTTGTCCTCAAAATTTCACCACTGATTATTTTAACCTTCTGTATACGATTCCAAACTCTCATTTAAAAAAAAAAAAAACCCTAAAAGCCTAGATTTAAAATCAAAACCGAAACTTTTAAGCCTCAAAATCTCTTTTTTCCTCTATCCGATCCTCTTAAGATTTTGATATGTTGCTATCTTCTTTTCACTTTTCATTTTCACTGTTCTCAATTACTCCAAAAATTCATGCAACTATGAGCTATCATGTGCCATTGTGGTTTCTGTCGCTGCTTGTGACCCATAAATGACCTCTTTTTTTTTTTTTCCTATAAAATATCTCTAAATCAACTAAAAGTCTTCAAAACTAAAATCTTTTCCCACTTTCTTTTTTTGCTTTTTTAACTCTTTTTGACACTGCTTTTCTTCGTTGGATTTTTGCTTTTTATGTGTAATTTTTTTGGAACTATTTTCTATAGCTTCTCTTTGATGAATTTGTTGTGTTTTGGGGTGGCCTTTTGAGTCTGATAGTGGAAAGAAATGTTGTCTAAAGTCGTGAGAGATTTGAGATTTTTAATGGTGATGTAAGTGGCCTGTGGTTCAAAAGGCTCAAAGTTGAAAGTGACAAAAATATGTTTTGACGGATGACCGATGGGTTTTTGTGTGAAAATCGTCTAATAATTTTTTTAGAAGTTTCTCGAGAAACTTTTTTTAAAATTATCCTTTAATTTTTTTTACATTGCTTATTTGTCCATTCAATATAAAATGGAGACAATATTTATTTTAAGTTATAGATGAATTATTATTATTATTATTATTATTGTTATTATTATTATTAATTTTCGTTTTTTTAAAAGCCTTAACATAAATAAATAAATATATAAACAAAACACCCCAAATAGCTTTTAGGTCTTTCAAAGGAAGAAGCCATATCAACTGAAGTCCAAGACACAACGGCAGTCTACAAAATTCTTTCTCTGTTTCTGTCTCTCCGGTTTTCTTTCTGTAGGGTAAAATTTTTTATTCATCTTTTGCAGTGGGTTTGCAATTGCATTATTATTATTGAATTTATTGATGATTAATTTTGTGAAAAAAGTGAAAGCCTTAAAAATGGGTGGGTTTGTGGGTGGGTTTATTTTTGATGACCAATTCATAGATTTTACACATTGGTGGTTCAAATGTCGGAGAAGGGAGGCAAAGGGTTTTATTGCCCACCAAAACACACCCAAATCTTCTCTCAATCTACCCTGCTTCTCTACTGTAGACATGTTTGATTTTCTTCTCTTTCTCTTTCTGTATCTTATTTTTCTTTTGATTCATGAGACGTATTCCGCATGCATTGCATTCTTTCTCTTTCTTTCTGTAAATATTTTGTTATCCGTTACCAATCTTCTTGGCCTCACCCTTCTTCCATGGCGTCCATTGAGAAGAAAGATTGAAAAATTCAGCCAAAACCAAGGAGAGAAGGAAAGTTCAGTTTTGGAACCGAAGGTCCTTTTTCCCTTTGTCTTTTGAGTTTATCCTTCTGTGAACATCTGTTTCTTTTATCTTTATTCTCCTTATAAATCCTACTCTCTCTATTTTTGTAGGTTCACCTGACCTTAAATTTAATTTCTCATCACCAAAATCCGATGGCAAGTTTGCAACCCCTATTGGTAAAGGTACTATCCCTTCATCAGCTCTTGGGTTTTGGGGTAAAGGGGTTAACTTTTTTTTTTTTAGAACTACTATATTTTCTATGGCTATTACCTGTTTTTATTGATACCGCATATAATATAATGTACAAGGTGACTGGGCCAAGGGAGGAAAAGGAGGCAAGGTAGCCAATGGGGGAAAGACTCCTGTGGCAAAAGAAGCACAGTCATTGGAGCTCAGAGTTGAACAGGGTTTTTACTTGCCTTAACTGCTAATGTGTTTCTTTTGAGGATTTGTTACTCTTTGTTTACCAATTTAATTCTTTGCTACAGTCAGCATTTAGGTTGCATTTATTGTTTGGTTAAATGATTAACACTACTTTCAGGCATGGACTTAAATAGCATCCACGACGCGGTATAGCGGCCGCTATTTAGCGTTTGCCCGCTGTCCGCCACCGTTATTCACTGCAATGGAGGTGTGAATTGTCATTCACACAAATAGTGGTATATCGGTGTATGCATCCGCAAATAGCGGTATAATGGATGCTAAAACCATTATGTGTGCTTTTCTTTAATATATCTATGAATTTTATAGCATATTGATTTTGAATTATAACTAAAATATGTGAAAATTTGTTTTAGCCTATAAATGTAAGATTAAAATATTATAAATTACTTTAAATATCATAAATAAATATTATTATATCAAACTATTCTTTTGCTTTATTTTATGATAAATTGTGAAAATTTTTTAAAAAATTCACAACCACGATGAGCACAACTACTGTTATCTTATCCGTTATGTTTGTAATTGTGATAAACGCGACATGAAGGCTATGACCGCATTTTAAATCCTTGCTTTCAGGTGTAGGACTTGAAAACAAAAATTGCTTCTTTGCTAAAAATTTTAATTAGATTGCTTATTGTAGTGAGTGTGCATGCCATGGCACTCAATGTATAGATACGTAGTATTTTTCATTTTAATAATCTGCAATACATCCATTTTCAAGGGAGTAAATCCTTTTTCTTTTTCACTTTTATTCTAAGTATGTATGCTAGAATTCATAGTTGTAATCCTCTTTTCTTCAAGCATGAAAAATGTTTGGTGATGGAGAATTAGAAATTATGCTGTTAAATTGCTAAAGGAACATATTTTCTTTCCAATTGCCTTGTTGTGTGTTTTCCCCCCAATTTATAATGTTCTTGTTAGATCAATTTGCTGGCCAGTACTTTTCTTTGTGCTGATATAGTGTAATTACAACTTTCTTCATGTGTTACGTACTGGTTTTCTTTTGGCACCTGGATTTTTATTTCTTTATTTATTTTTAGATTGGTTCTTGAACTTTGTTGTAGTTCCTCTTCTTTTGGCCTTGTTATTTCTTTTATTTTCTCTCAACTATTCATCATGCACTTTGTAAAAATATAGGTTCTTTTTTGGCCTTGTTATTTCTTTTATTTTCTCTCAACTATTCATCATGCACTTTGTAAAAATATAGGTTCTTTCTTTCTTTTTTTTTTTTTTTTTTAATTTGCCTTGGTTTTAAGATTCATCTTCTTCTTTTCTTTTCTTTTTTTTTTTAAAATTAGTCTTGGTTTTAAGATTCGTTTTTTTTTTTAATTTTTCATTTTATTAGTATTGGTTTTCAGATTCATATCTGAAGCTTTTGCTTAGATTGGAAAGGTCCTTGCCATTATTTGCAGAACTTCCAAAAAATGTTAAGTGCCTTATGGATTGTGAGGCTGCAATTATCTTAGAAGGCATTCAGGAACAAATGGTTATACTCTCTGAAGATTCAACTATTAAGCTCCCTGAGTAAGAACTTTTTTACAACTTTTGATCTTATGTGGAAGGATTCATCAAATAGCTCTAACTTATCATCTCTTTTCAGATCATTTGATTTGGGACTGCGTTATGCCAAGACTGGTTGCTATTATACTAATCCCCAGTCTGTTAGACGAGTTCTTGAGTATCCTTGATTTTCCTTTTTCAATGGCACTTCTATATAGACATTTTTTTCTTTTTTGTTGTCACTGGTTGCTTTACATGAAATCTGTCTTTTGTGCTCTATCTCCTGTTGAACCATTAACTCAAATCTCAGGGTTCTTTCAAAATATGATGTCTCTTACAGTGAGGTATCAGGTCTTAACCTGAGTGATTAATTTTAAACTATCATGCTGTTGTCTCAGTTACAAATTGTTGTTGCAGATTTGTGTGATTGCAAATACTTGTCCAGAAACTGTTGATGAAGTTTTTGCACTTGTCCAATCCTTGGAGGTATGACTAGTATGTATACTTTTATTTGATGGATGAAATTGTTTATTATATCCCAAGGAGAGTAGAATGAGAGTTGTTGTAAAACAAAGAAAAGATAGTTTGAAGTTTTTATTGCTTGATCTAGGCTAAGAGAAGGGGGCTCAGTGAACCACTTAAAGATGTACTGGATGAGCTAGCTAAACTTAAAAAATCCACCTGATGCCATGCGCGGAAGCTGTGGTAAGATGGCTTTTTCTGGGATTTTACTGCAGTAGGTTATAGGTTGTGATTATTGTTTTGGGTGTACTGATAAACTGTGTGCATGTGGTCTGATAGACTGACTGTTTGGGGGTGTGGAATGTGCTTATTTTTCAGGGGAAGCCTTATTTGAAAGGAATTTCCTCTTCCTGTTGTTGATGGTTGTAGCCTCCATTTTCATGATCAGGGATTAGCTGGACCTCGTGCAGGATATTAGTGCAGGATATTATAACCATCGGTTCTTATCATGTGAATTTGTGGTTGAATAGAGATATTGTTATCTGTTGCAGCATTATTTTATGGTGTGTGTTCGTTGTGTGACCGGTATGTTAATATTTTGAGAACTGAACCTCTCAGCAATCCTTTGATATGGAAACACTAGTTGGATGGTTTGCTATCTTCTCTTATCTTCCTTGCTTTATTTATTACTTTTTTCTACTCTGTTGACTTTGCACTTATTTGTATATATCCGTAAAATGAAAAAAGGGATAGAAATAAAATTCACTTTCCTTTTCCTTTTTATCCATTCATTTGCACGGTACGAATTAGACTCTGATTAGCACATTTGACTCTGATTCTTGATTAGAAAGAGGGATAAAGGAAAAAATAAAATTGTGATCAGTTTGTGCCAGTGGGGGATAGATTTTATTGCGGCAACTTCTACAAATTGTAATTGATATGCTTGAAAAAAGAAAACATCTGTAGTGAATACTAAGTACATGAACGCATATTGTAACGTTGATACAGGTAAGCTGTGGCAATAATTCGGCTAGGACTTGACAAAATCAGGCTGATTGGTGACAGATCTGACCCATGCCCATTTATGGTCCTTAGTGTTCACTTCATTCTTTGCCGTTAACAGGACCAGAGACAAAACCAGTATACCCAGCCATTACCCCATGAATTGCTGAGTGAGCCAGAAGTGTACGGTACAAGTTATTGGTAACATTGGCCGGAACTGCTCTTATCATGTAAGTAGGATCTATATACCTCACCGTAAACAACTGTTTTGGGTGGTGTCTGTCCCACCATTTGTTGAGCTCTGACTTCAACCACGCACCAACATCCAGGGAAACCAAGTTGCCAGACTTATCCCTTTCTTCTTTCTGGGTATCAAATCCTGCCCTGCCCCTTCAGCAATAACCAGCACTGCGTGCCCGTTTTCTTCCAGCCTTTGTTCAAGAAACTCAAATAGCCCTCCCTCGCCTTCCAAGTAAAATTCAATTTCAGGAATTAAACAGCAGTCCACATCACGGCTGCTCAATGTTGCATGAAGGGTTATATGCCAGGTGCGTCGACCCATTAGCTTTACTGAACAAGTTCCATTCACTGCGCTCTCTGCCTCCACATGAGCTGCATGGATTGCTTGCTGGGCCATTGCTACGGCTGTCTGGAACCCAAATTATCTATCAATTATGCCCACATCATTGTCAACGGTTTTCGGAATTCCAGCAACTCCGACTATCAATTTCCGACTGCGAATCTCCTCAAATATCCTTTTAGCACCACGCATCGTGCCATCTTCGCCTATAATGTAAACCTATTGGTACACATTGAGCAAGCAAATGATACACACACACACACACACACACACACACACACACACACACACACACACACACACACACACACACATATACATAAGCTCCAGAACGCAAGCACTAAGTCAAATTATAATCAAGAAGTAGGCCAGGCTACAAGAAGAAACCCAGCTGTTATGAACAAGGGACTGGTTAATACATATAGCACATGCACAGATATATTAATCAGGATAAAATTGACTATTTGAAAACGATACATGAAGTAAACAGATCAAATAAGTGCTCTACTGTCCTGTCAACAATCTTCAATTCTTTTTCAAGCTCTCAAGGGAGACATATAGGTCGTGGGTCTCTCTAAATCCCAACAATTTTATTTATTACTGCGTTATTCTTTTCGATTGTTTCAAAAGAGCTCCGAATCGAACTGATAGATTCTTTAGATGGTAATCATATGTGTTAAGAAGCTTGCTCTTTTAATCAATTCTTTTATTCTGCATGATAGATACTAAGGAATTTGGATGCAATTGAAAGGTTGATGATGGCCACCGTTGGGAGTTGATTTGGAGAAATACTGAGCTGGTCAATCTCAATACACTACTCGTCAGTTAAAAAACAAATCAAACACCAGAAAAAATGATAAACTAGATGATTACAGTGAGGTGAATTAAGAGGCAAGTCAATGCTTATATCCACCAGGCCGATTGAGAGAAAACTGGAAACTGGCATCTCTATTCTATTCTTTAATTAGGTCGAAGAAATTTGAGTATACATTGATTTTACAGGTGTTCAGACTCCAAGAATATGTTGGAGCATAGGGTTGTGAAGAATTTTCTTCTTCTTCTCTCTCTTCTGTCTATTATGCTTCTTCCTACTTCGTTCTTCTTCTGTTATCTTCTTGCTATGTTCATTAATTTTTGGCACGCATCAAAAATATGTTTGGTTGCATATGCATAAGAACTTTGGAATTTAAAATGGGATATCTAATTAAGGATTAATTGATTCTTTTTTATATATGACTACTGTTAGGCTTTAATAACTTACTAATGTCATAATATATAGATTCATGGATCTATCATTAGACATAGATTAAAAGAATCGCCATCAATCTTTTTTGTTAAAGTGTAATTGATTATCTAATTGAATATGTCATATTTAAAAAGGAGTCCTAACATTGATTTAGGTATTTTTAAATAGTAAATTATAATCCACAAAACTAAAGTTTAGATTCAGGAGTGCAGTTATGCTTAAAGAATGTTATAACATCCTCACAACGTCTATTCAAAAAATGTTATAGTTTGATTTCAAATTATCAAAACTTTAAAATATATTTATAATTTACCAAATAATTTTAATATTAAAAATTTTTCTTAAATTACTCCAATATATAGGTAATAATTTAAGATATTTTCTCACTTTAAGAGTATTTAAATAGACTATTTGTCACGTTTTGAAGAGGTTCTGTTTTTAGATTCACTTAATTTTGTTTCTAGAAATAAATACTTATAAATCGGATTTATAATCAGAAATATCCTCTAATCTGTTGGTAAAATTTTTTGTTGAAAATTATCCTCCAATCTATTGGTAGGATTTTATGCAATAAGACAAAAAATATTATTTTATTATTTTTTAAAACTTGATTTTTTTTAGAAAATTACAAGTCTTTCCAATATGTTGGTAAAATTTTATTTTGAAAATAAAATATTAGTCTTCCAATCTGTTGATAAGACTTTTTATTTTTATTTTTTTAAAATAAAAAAGTTTCTAAGGCTTTCTAATATGTTGGTAAAACCCTATTTTTTTAAAAAATGATTGCCTTCTAATTTATTAGTAAGGCTTTTATTTAAATATGTTTTTATAAAAATATCTTTAAAAAAAATAAATAATCAAATAAGTAAAATAGTTAAATAAATAAAAATAAAATAAAATAAAATAACTTAAAGTCGGCTCAGCTAAGCAGCTGGGCTATGCGACTTACTAAAATAAACCTTCACAATTCTAGATTTTGCAAAGAATTTTTTTTTTTAAAAAAAAAAAACTACTATAAAAAATCATATATATTTTTGAACAATTTTTCTCTCATTTTTCTCTCAAGAGTTTTCGTATAAACTTTTTCTCATCCCTATTCTTTGACTACTTTAGAACAACTTATAAGGATTTTGTAGTCAAATATTTTAGGGTTCCATTGATTGTCAAGTATATTCAAAGATTTTTTAAATTCCTTTAATTTAGGTAAAATCAATTTAACAGAATCCCTAGCTTTAATGCTCTGTGATCCTTTTTTATTTGATTTTCTATTTTATGTAGGTTAAGAAAAAATCCTAAAAATTCCTCTTTGTTCGATTCTTGTATAGGATTTCCAAAAAGTTTTGTTTGATTTTCTTTTCTTTTCTATTTATTTAGTTTTTATTAAAGAATAAACAGACAAATAAAAAAAATTTTGTTAGGGTTAAGCTCACATCAAAGTAACATACATTAGGCTTAAAGCCTAACAATATCAATAAAATCAAAACTGAAATTTTGGATGCATGCCCCAGATAAAATTGGGTGTCTATAATTGCCTTTCTTTACACATTCCTGTGAAACAAAAATGATGCAAAGACATAGATAACCATTGAGTTCGGTTTAACTCAAGCAATTTTAAAATGATGCAATTTTCAAAAAATTTTAAAGAATTCCTCTAAAAAAAGGCATAAAGCTTAAAAACTTTGATAACTTTTCTAAACAGAGATTCAAAAAATTAAACTCCTATATATAAAGGCAAATAAATTTAAGTTAAGAAATGGGCTCCTCTATATAAAGGCTAAACAACTTTAAAATAGGATCCTCTATATAGAGGCTAAATAACTTTAAAATAGGAAATGGCTAAGGTTAAACAACTTTAAAATAGAAAATGAGCTCTTCTATATAGAAGTTAAAAAACTTTAAAATAAGAAATGGTCTCCTCTATACAAAGGCTAAACAACTTTAAAATGAAGAAATGGGCTCCCCTATATAGAGATTAAAACAACTTTAAATTCAGAAATGAGCTCCTTTATATAGAGGCTAAACAACTTTAAAAACTTTAAATAGGAAATTATTAGCCTTGAATTGATCCCTAGTTTGAAATAACAAAACATTAAACTAAATCAACTTGATCAATATTTTGAAAAAGATTTGTTTAGTACATATTCTTAAGTTTTATATTTTGGTACTAAATAAATAATATATTTTTCATACTGTAAACAAACCATTTTTTGTTTTCATATTTCTTAAACTAAATCTATCTTTAAAAATTATTTATTTAAGCTTAAATGAAAGTCCAATTGTTGTTTTTAAAGTGAACTTATTCATTTTGGACTTAATACAATTTTAATAATATTGGTTTTTAGAAATAAATTAATTTAGGAAAGTTGTTTTACAAGAACAAAGTTTTTCAACATTGAACTTATTTTATTTTTCTGTATTAATTCACAAAGCTTTAACGTTTGAATTTTATATAGTTGAAAAGTTCTTTAAGTTTACTTTCTAACAAATCAAACAAAATCAAAATCAAAATTTTCTAAGAAAAGATTTTGAATTTTTACTAGACACTTTGTAGTTGTCTAAAAACTACACAAATGATAGATTTGAAAATTTACTATAATTCGTACACAATGAATTAGGTGATGAATTTTATATAGATAGAAAGCCTTTTAAGTCTAGTTTCTAAATCTTCAAACAGTTTTTTATTTGGATTTATATAACTCAAGATATAATCAAATAGTGAGTAAAGTGCAAAACAAAAGATAACCATCCAGCTTTTACAGGATCGATCCCTTTAGGAAAGGGATTGATTGATTTTTTACCCAGAATGCATTTTTGTGCTCCAGGTTGAAGA